CGTCAGAAATCACAACTGCTACAGCTGCACAAAGCAGCACTGCAGTGGCCACAACTTTGCCAATCAAACGGCCCTGAAGGCCCTTGAAATTCCAAATTACACCGGAGTAACGGATTCCCGATTTGGTCCGTATGCTTTAAATTGCCAGATACGAGCAACGTCCCTGTTTTTCACACTGAACGACGGTCGCAGCCTCCCTGTGGTCAGGTGATCAAAATCCGACCGCTTGGCAACTGGCAGGTCTTTATGACAGTTGCGGGGTCACGTGATTCCCCTTTTGCGACCACCTGACAGCAAAGTCACTGGGGAAGCCTGATTTCCTTCGCAACCGTGTGACTTAACTTCACAACTGCAGCGATTCGCTTACTGGCCAGAAAGCTCGTAAAACAGGACAAATCTCACCTGACAGCTGCCTTGCTTAGCAACGGAGATATCTGGCGCCCAGTTGTGGCCGTAGGTTCGAGGACTACCTGTATAGTCCTGGGCCCAAAGCCAGGGAAAGCTTGCAAACGCTGCTTATATTAATCCAGGAGCCACTTTCACACATAAAGCACGTCTCTTCTTTCTCCTTGATCGGTACAGTATCCAGATTGGGCTGGCGAAAAGTCCTTTCTTGGGGTTCAGACCCCCTCCCTTTCGCAGAGTTATTTATGATCTCCCCTTATTGGGGAAAAAGTACAATTTGGATGCTGCCGCCCACCCTTTTCTCTCTCCTGGCAGCTCGCTGGCTGCCAGTTACAGCGTTGGCCGCCCCCACACGCCACTGCAGCAGAACGCTGCTTGAACGTTACAGAGACTGAATTACAAAGCACAGTCTCTCTCTGTGTGTGTGTGTGTGTGTAGAGATGTGTATGTGTGTGTGTCTATACGCACTCCGGGCTGCTATATTTAGCCCGGCCGTTGCTGTTTTTAGCTCCTTGATTCAGAACCCAAATTAGCAGAATTCTCCTCCGCCTCCCTACCCTACGAGTCCGGTTGAACCGCTTCCCTCTCCTACCTAACCTTCTTCAACTTTCCCCTCTAAAACTCTCTATGACAGGATCCGGGAGAGACGTCGGTAGTCAACGGGGGAAGGGGTTTCAAAGAGAGAGGGGAAGAAAGATTTGGGGAAGGGCGGAAGGGGGGTCATAACGGTGCTACCGTGTGATTCACAGTCGCCATGCAAAAATGATGCACTCCGCTCCAGTCAATGCTCCGTTGGGAGTTAATAATAATAATAATAATAATAATAATAATAATAATAATAATAATAAAGTTGGAAGGGACCTTGGAGGTCATCGAGTCCAACCCCCTGCTCAGGCAGGAAACCCTATACCATTTCGGACAAATGGCTGTCCAGTCTCTTCTTAAAAACCTCCAGTGTTGGAGCATTCACTGCTTCTGGAGGCAGGTTGTTCCACTGGTTAATTGTTCTCACTGTCAGGAAGTTTCTCCTTAATTCTAGGTTGCTTCTCTCCTTGATTAGTTTCCATCTGTTGCTTCTTGTCCTGCCTCCAGGCGCTTTGAAGAATAGCTTGACTGCCCCTTTGCGGCAGCCCCTGAGATATTGGAACCCTGCTATCATGTCCCCCCTCGTCCTTCTCTTCATTAAACTAGACATACCCAATTCCAGCAACCGTTCCTTATATGTTTTAGCCTGGTGGTGATCTCCTGGTGGTCTTCCATCCGTGTCCTGAGCAGGCCTCAGCCTGTTTAAGCTTGTAGCCCGAGCAATGTCAGCCAAAGGCTGCCACCTGCCGATGCTTAAGAAGCTTCCGTAGAATCCTACAAATCAAATGCGGCTCCTGATAACTTTATGGCTGCCTCCGTGTGGTTTTCTGGGGCCAGGTTGCCGTAGCGCTGGGTTATACAAGACACGTTGGCGGAGCTGAAAAGAATGCCAGAGGTGTAGTTCAGGATTAGTTTAGACTGGAACGAACTCTAGTCTGGATACGTACCGGACTGTCTTGTGCACTGTTAGGGAGGTGCTCAAGGACATTTTTTTCCGGTTCCTAAAGCAAGGTTTCGAAGTATCTTGCATCTTATGCTTGTGTCTTGTGTCTTTGAAGCAGAGTTTCCTAGGTGGCGACATCCACACCCAACTGGATCTGCAGCTTGGAATTTCCAGATTGGCATCCTTTTGCCTCTTCGCCTCTGGAAAAGTTGTCGGCCCCGTTTCTGGTTCTGCCCGGAAAGACATGCCAGAGTCCAATTGAACTTTTTAGGAATTGCTGTTCCTGGATCAGTCGGTTGCATAAACAGTCTTGTCTGCATTGCAGAAAAGTGATAATTGTATAACTTGTCAAATTCTTCTCCTTGGAAAATCAACACACCTAACTAACTGGAGCTATTTCAGTAGTACACGATGGGAAGAAGAAAGAGAAACAGAAAGAAAGAAAGAAAGAAAGAAAGAGAGAGAGAGAGAGAGAGAGAGAGAGAAAGAAAGAAAGAAAGAAAGAAAGAAAGAAAGAAAGAAAGAAAGAAAGAAAGAAAGAAAGAAAGAAAGAAAAAGAAAAAAAAGGAAGGAAGGAAGGAAGAAAAAAGAAAGGGAGGGAAGGAAGGAAGAAAGAAGGGAAGGAGGAAGGAAGAAAGGAAAAGGAGGGAGGAAGGAGGAAAGGAAGGAAGGATAGAAGGGAGGGAAGGAAGAATGGAATGGAAGAAGGGAGGGAGGAGGAAACGAAAGAGAAAACAGGAAGGAGGGAAGAGAAGGAAGGAAGAAAAGAAAGGGAGGGAAGGAAGGGAAGGGGGGAAGGAAGAAAGGAAAAGGAGGGAGGAGGAAAGGAAAGAAGGAAGAAAGGATGGAAGGGAAGGAAGGAAGAATGGAAGGGAAGAAAGGGAGGGAGGAAGGAAGGAAAGAGAAAACAGGAAGGAGGGAAGGAAGGAGGAATGGAAGGGAGGGAGGAGGAAAGGAAAGAGAAAACAGGAAGAAAGGAAGGAAGAAAGGATGGAAGGGGGAAGGAAGGAAGGAAGACTGGGAAGAAAGGATGGAAAGAGAAAGGAAGGAAGGAAGGAAGGAAGGATGCTAAAAGCAAACATAATGTTCCTTAAGACAGGACCCTGCATACATTTGGGGGGCAGCTTCCCACCCCAACGGAACGAAATCCCTCCATCCCTCCATCCCAGTGTGCCTCCTCCTTTCTGGCAACTTCCAAAACAGGGCAGGATCATCCAAAGCCACAAAGAGCTGGTTGCCTCCCACCATCTCAGCTTTCACGCCCTTATATGGAACGAGGAGAGATTTATGCAAAAGCCAAGCTGCCTAATTTAGGTTATCTCTGCAAAGGGGGGGGGGGGGAGAGGAGGAAAAAAAAAAGGAAGTAAAGAAAGAAACGAATACGGAGGAGAAGAAAAAGAACCAGCCCAAATGGGAGACAGAATGCTGTCACTTTTCATGGTTGCTAAGCAACCGCAGAGCTCAAAAAGAACCTTTCTCTCTCTCTTTTTTCTTTTTTTTGCAGCGTCTATTTTTGGCCTTCGCCGAAGACGAACGTTATTTAAGGCCTGGCTTGTTTATTTACTGGGAAGTTTAAAAAGAAAACCAGAATAGATTCTTCTGATGGCTTTTTTTGGGGGGACGAGAAGGGAAAATTCCTGGACAGAAATCCTAAATAAAGATATGCTCAGAACCCATCGTTTTACTAAATAGGAGAGAAAAGGACAAAACAGTTCAGAATCTGTTCAGAAAAGTGTTTTGTTTTTTTTTAAAAAAAAAACCCAATAATTTTGAAAAAAAGGCAAAAAAAAAAACCCCACAAACAGATTCACCTCCCCAAAATGCTGCTGTTAGCCTTAGTAGTAAATATTTCTATTTTTTAGAGACTGCGTCAAGAACAGCTTCTTTAAACCACAAAGGCCGAGCTTACAACCGGGAGAACATAAACAATCACACATGCCCCCTATAGATTTATATATATATTTATGAAAGAACGGCAGGAGACACACACACATTTAAGATGCATCTTTCGGAGTTCGGTTTAGGCCTGTAACCCTGCAGTTTGGACACCCCCTTTTCCTCCAGGGTTTTGGTTTTTAGAATGGGTGTGTGTGTGTGAAGAAATCTGGAAGAACTCAAGACCTGTTTTGCTTTAGGCCTGGCCAAGATTGAGGGGCAAAGATTGTGAAGGAAGGAAAGGAAAAGAGGAAAGAATTAACACGAAGCAAAGAGATTGACTGGCTACATCGCTTTGGGTAAGAGAATTTAAAGGGACAAGAAAATTATATGTTAAGGTAAATAATAACATTGAAAAGAGGAGATGCTCGGCTGGCACCCCAAACTGCACTCGTAGAGGCGGTTAAGAAGGGAGTGGGGATGTATGTAGGTGGAAAGGAGAGGTGGAGAGGTTGTGAGATTAGAGGGAGGAAGGACAGGAAAGTGGATGAGGGTGGAGGCAAGGCGGGGACCGCCGAGCGTCTCCGAAAATGTATTGATTTGGAGTATTTTTTATTGCTTGTGTATCTAAATGCATCATATTGGTATTTGTTGTTTAATTATAAAAATCAATAAAATTTTATTTAAAAAGAAAAGAAAAGAAGAGGATTTGGGAAAGAACAATGCTTGGGAAAAAGAAGGAATGAGATCTCAGCACCATCATTAAATTTCTGGGAGAGAGAGAGAGAGAGAAAAGTCAGGCACACTGGGATGCGATTCCAACATTCGAGACTCTGTTTCACCTCCTAATTCGGTGCAGTGTTTGCTTGGTTTCCTCCTCCAGCCTCCCCCCCCTCCTCACCACGTCATTCAGAAGCCAGTGACGTAGGGTTCCCCCAAGCCCATGGAAGCAGGGGGGGGCTGGCTCTGCAACCCTCTCCCTTCCATTGATCTGAACAACTCTTCCCGCCCCGTTTTCCTTAATATGCCAGTGCCCACACTCCCAACAGCCTATAAAAGATGGAAAGCAGGCTCTCCGACAGATCCACAGGCAGACATCAGAGAGAGAGAGAGAGAGAGAGAGAGAGAAAGAAAGAAAGAGGGCGCAAAGACGGAAGCGGCTTGAGCTGCACGGATCTTCTTCCCAGCCGAGATGTACCGGTCCACGAAAGGAGCCTCCAAGGCACGGCGGGATCAAATCAATGCGGAGATTAGACATCTGAAGGACCTGTTGCCCATTGCTGAAGGAGATAAACTTCGGCTCTCTTATCTCCATATCATGTCGCTGGCTTGCATCTACACTCGGAAATCCATCTTCTTCTCCAAAGGTAGATCCAGAAGACAACGGAGGGGCTTGGGGAAGGGAAGACTAAGGGAGCGGGGTGGGTGGGCTTACTTCTAAAGTTGGGTAAGGGGAGGCTTCCCTTAGAAACTCAACAGGTCTCTCTCCGTGGTACTGAAACGCCCAATGGAGCCGGGGCCGCTGTCCGTGGTGCTGAAACAGCATCTATGGCAAACTTTGGTTGTAATAACTGCTGTCCCTGGTGCTGAAACAGCTTACAGTTCCTTTTTCCTTGATGTGAAGGGAGCGAGTATTTTTTTTTTTAATAGAAAAATAAAAAATTAAACCCCTGTCCTGTTTCTCAACAGGTGCACCTTTGGAAGGCTTGGAGAGCTTGCTGTCTTCCCAGGACTTAGACGATTTCATGCAGGCGCTTCCTGGTTTCCTTTTGGCGTTCACTGGAGAAGGCAAACTCATCTATGTGTCGGAGACTGTGGCTGAGCACTTGGGGCATTCTATGGTACGTACCGGAGACTTGTAAAGAGGGGAGAGTGATACCGTTGCTATAAAATAAGGGAAATAATAGCACTCCTTTGAATTGTCCTGGGTTTTCACAGCAGGCTAACCTTTGTTTAGTTGTATTACGACAGCATTTCATTTAAGCCATAGCCTTTCATTTTCTCCAAGGCTGGAGTTTATTAAATTAGTCCTATAGTCTCTACAACTGAAGCTGTTTGTCCAGAACATTGATAGCTCTTAAGAGATTATTTTCTCAACGAGAGTAAACATATTTATGAAAGACCGTTGACTTTGGAGGTCCTACGTGAAGCTGACTCAGTGACTAATAGGAGAGTTTAATTTCACAACTGTTCCCATCTCCCTCCCACTTATGCCTGCAGGTGGATTTAGTGGCCCAAGGAGACAGCATCTACGACATAATTGACCCAGCAGATCATTTTGTGATGAAGAATCAGTTGGCGTTGCCTTCTCCATTAAATACCGGTAGGTGTTCCTTTGTGGAAATGAGTGTCAGGCAGAGGAGAAGGGAGCAATAGACATGTGGTTCGGAAAGGAGTCTAAATTAGCATGATGACTATTTAAAAAGTTGACGGGTTATGTGTTAGACTAGAACGAAGCCTTGCAGAGCTTAATTCAAGAGAGAAGGTATGGAAGCTCACCTTTTATCAGAAAAACTCCCATTTAGGAGCCGATAATATTATGAAATTGGTCTTCCATTACTGTGGAGAAAAAAAAAAACAGCGTGGCATTTCTGGAGAAAAGCAAGCCTCTAGGGCAGTGCTTGTCAACCGTAGTTGCTTGAAGATAGGTGGACTTCAATTCCCCAACTGGTCCACAGACGTGGCCAAGATTGAAAACATGATTCTAGGATGGAGTTTCCAATCAGAGGAAGGTCAATCCATTCTTGTAACCTGTGTTTAAGAAATTCATTTCGAAATACATCTCGTGCAGAAAAAAAAAGTCTAGGAGAGTGGAACAAATCCATCCTTTGTGCTAGAGATTGGCTTGGCAAAGTCTGAGTATGCTTCAGTGTCTTATGGCTTTTCAAGTCTCTCAACATCCCTCTTCTTTTTTTCTCCTTTCCTTCAAACCAAAACAGAACGTCTCTTCCGTTGTCACTTCAACACTTCCAAAACAATCCGGCGTCAAAGTGCAGGAAATAAGCTGGTTCTGATTCGCGGCCACTTCCACCAACCTCCTCCGGGGTCTTATTGGTCCACCAATCCTGTCTTCACAGCCTTTTGCACTCCTCTCGATCCTAAGCCCAGAATGGGTCAAAATGCGTTCTTCCTCTCGGCTTTTGAGAGTCGCCATACGAAAGACTTGGCCATCGTGGATATCTCTGAAAGGTGAGAGGCCTTGTGGAAAAGGCGAAAGCTTAGGATTAATTTAGAGCAGGGGTCTCCAAACCTGACCACTTTAAGACTTGTGGACTTCAACTCCCAGCTTGCCTCCAGTCACCCAAACTTGGCAATTTTAAGACTTGAGGACATCAGCTCCCAGAATTCCTCAGTCAGCCAAACTTGGCAACTTTAACACTTGTGGACTTCAACTCCCAGAATTCCTCAGCCAGCATTTGGCAACTTTAAGACTTGTGGACTTCAGCTCCCAGAATTCCCACGTTTAGAGACCCCTAGACCAGGGCTTTTCTAACTTGGCCCTTTTATGACTTGTGGACTTCGACTCCCAGAATTCCTCAGCTAGGCACGCTGGCTGAGGAATTCTGGGAGTCGAAGTCCACAAGTCATAAAAGGGCCAAGTTTGAAGACCCCTGGACTAGACTGAGAAGAACATAAGGACTGAGAAGGAATTTGGCGGGGTTGTTAAGGCAGGAGCATCTTGTCTCCACCAGAGGGAGAAGCAGGGCACTGAATAACCGGCCAACGGGCGTACATACAAATTCTCCTGTATTATTTTTCCCAACAATTTCTTACTCTACTTAAAAGGAACTGGAGTTCTTCAACCATGGGGTCTTTTTCAGAGCGGGAAGTGTGAGAATTCAGGCAGGCCCTGGAAAGTTGAACCTTATCATCTCTCTAGAGTAGTGTATCTCAACCCTGGCCACTTGAAGACGGGTGGAATGGAGTTGCTGGCTGGGGAATTCTGGGAGTTGAAGTTCACCCATCTTCAAGCTGCCACGGTTGAGTGCCCTAGAAGAATAACACAGGCTCAGAACCCCAGAGAAATCAGCAAGGAATGCTCCAATGTCTTGTGAGCAAAATAGAACATGTTTGCAGAGGAAGGTACTAATAAAATGCAGCACCATCGCTGTCACCGCCAAAGCACTGATCTCTACTCTTATTTTCTCTCCATATTCTAGTGTGATCTTCCATCTGGGCTTTGAGAAGAGCGAACTCTTCTGCAAATCGTGGTACGGCCTGATCCACCCTGAAGATCTCAGCCATGCTTCGGCCCAGCATTACCGACTGTGTGAGTCTCTTACCGTTGTCCTTTTAATCCACCCTTCCGACATCGGTACCCGGTGGGCGAAGCGGATTGGACTGACCGGTTGTCTTATTCCCTTTCTCCTTCTTGTTACTCCAGTGGGTGATCAAAGCAACACACAAGCTGAAATGGTGATCAGGCTCCAAGCAAAAGACGGCGTAAGCTGGATCTGGGTCTACTCGTTGCTTCGCTTGGAGGGCACGGAGATCCCCATCGTTGCTCACAACTACGTCATCAGGTAACAGTTGTGGCGGAACACTTTCTGGGGTGGGTGGGCTTGAGGTGTGGATTGTTTCGTTGTAACCCTGCGAGGTGGGCTGGGAGAGAGAGAGAGAGGGACTGGCCCAGCGTTCACCCAGCTGGCTTTCAGGCCTAAGGCGGGACTAGAACTCACCGTCTCCTGGTGATTGGCCCAAAGTCACCCAGTCGCCTTTCATGCCTAAGGCGGGACTAGAATTCACTGTCTCCTGGTGATTGGCCCAAAGTCACTCAGTTGGCTTTCAGGCTTAAGGCGGGACTAGAACTCACTTTCTGGCGATTGGCCCAAAGTCACCCAGATGGCTTTCATGCCTAAGGCGGGACTAGAACTCACTGTCTCCTGGTGATTGGCCCAAAATCACTCAGCTGGCTTTCATACCTAAGGCGGGACTAGAACTCACTGTCTCCTGGCGATTGGCCCAAAGTCACCCAGATGGCTTTCATGCCTAAGGCGGGACTAGAATTCACTGTCTCCTGCTGATTGGCCCAAAGTCATCCAGCCAGTTTTCATGGCTAAGGCGGGACTAGAACTCACTTCCTGGTGATTGGCCCAAAGTCACACAGCTGGCTTTCAGGCTGAAGGCGGGACTAGAACTCACCGTCTCCTGGTGATTGGCCCAATGTCACCCAGCTGGCTTTCATGCCTAAAGCGGGACTAGAACTCACCGTCTCCTGGTGATCATCCCACAGTCATCCAACTGACTTTCATGACTGTGGCGGGACTAGAACTCACCGTCTCCTGGCTTCTAGTCCAGCACCTTCACCGAGACCACATTGCCTCTCATACGGACACCGATTTTAAACCACTTGTATAGCTGCCCCTCTCACACAGGCGACGCAGGGCGGGATATAGAGGCCTAAAAACGGCACAGTAGGAAATAAATAAATCAGCCATCTCTGCTTTAAAGGGCTACACCCCGACTCGGCCTCCCGCTCAATTTTCTCCCCAAAGTCCGATGCCCCTTTCCAGTGGGAGCATCTGCGGATAAGGAAGGCAGACTGGATAGCTGACCCTTTGCAGAACTCTGGATAAAGGAGGGAAGCGAAAACGGGCGCCTAGCTAGAAGACGGTGACTTTCCGTAGAGTCGTTTCGGTGCTTACATGTTTCGTAAGCCGGGCTTCCTCGTCGCCATGTTACTTTCGGCAATCTGAGGCCCGCAAGGCTGTTCCAATCCCGTACTAGAGAGGCAGAAAGGATTAAAAAAATGTAGATGTTTTGCTTTTGGGCTCTCTTGACGATGAGGAACCTCCCCACAGCCTCCTTCTGACTTTTCCTTCCCTCCCTTCTCCTGCAGCGATTCCGAAGCTTGGTGCCTGAAGCAGCAACTGTCTGCCGAAGGATCCCAAGGGACGTACACCCTGGAAAGCACCACCACTTTCCTGGAGAGTCTCCTGTCTCCTGGACAGCTCTCCAGCCCCGATCAAGTCTTCACGCCCGCGGCCGGCACCCCCACCAGCACTCTTGCGGCCCCGACGTTCGATTTCAGCTCCGCCGGGGCCCCCGAAGGTCCCTCGGCCTTTGGCGAGCCTGCCGAAGGCCTGCCGGAAGGGATGGTGGAACCTGGGAATATCTCCTCCATAGAGGACGCCCCGCCAGGTTCCACCCTCAGCCTCCTTGTCAAAGAGCCGGCCTTCGGCTACCTCCTCCTCCCGCAAGGAAGTTACGGAGCGATGTTTGCAAGTGAGGCGCCCAGCGGCAAACCTGCCTCCAAAGATGTGGTCTGCACCCCTCCTTACACCCCGCACCAGAGCTCGCCTTTCCTCTTTGGAACTCAAGAGCTTTACGGAGCCCACGGCGGGAGCAGCCCTACGGCCGGGCCTCCCGGGACAGCTTCCGGCATCGACTCGCCTGCCGGTCTCACCGCCGTGAACGCCTCCGAGCTGTTCTTCACCCAAGAACCATGCCATATTCTCTATGAGAAACTCCCCCCGACTCCGGACAGCCCCGGTAATGGGGGCTGCACCGTCATGAGCTTGCCGGAGATCAGAGGTCCCCTCTACGTTGATGTGCCTATGGTACCCGAGGGGATGCTGACTCCGGAGGCCTCGCCCATCAAGCAGATGTTCTTCAGATATTCTGAGAAGGAGAAGAACGAAATCGAGCAGTTGGCTCAGCAGCTCTGTAGCCTGGCAGAGACTTTTGGCTCCCCGGCGTCCCGGGAAGTCGCCGAGAACGGCCAGGGGTCTCTCCAAGAGGACCTGCCGGGCCCCGGCCCCGAACTCTCTCCCGTGCCCGAACCTTGCCCGGATTTCCAACTGCCCAAAACCTGGAGGAGCGTGGATTTCTCCGTCTTGACCTGCCTGGAGGACGACCTCCTGGAAGAGACGGCTCTGGAGACCCTCCTCCAAGACCTGTCTTCCTTTCTGTTCGAGAAAGGGGGGGCAGGGATGAGGTGCCCTCACCACCAGTTCTGCGGTGGCGACGTCAGTAGTCCAGTCGGCTTGGACACCGAAGATAGTAGCCCAGGAGTCTTGGCTCCCTCGCCAAGGATGGACTTAGCTCCAGAAGAGCCATGTTTTTTGGAAGAGCTGGCCTCCTTCGACACAGCCTTTGAGACACGTGCCTCAAACTCTCCCTACGAGGGGTTAGATGAGTTGTATCAACTCCCGAGCCAAAGGCCCCAAGGCTTCCAGGAAGGTAAGACGGGTGGGGGGGGTGGAGGCAGTGAGTGTGGGGGGTGAAGGGAGCAAGGGGAGGAGGGGGGGGGTCCCAAAGGGGCTATGCCAAGTTTCTAGGTTCTTTTTTTTTCCTTCTTTCCTTTTTTTCCCTTCTCTTCTTTTGCTTTCTTTCCCTTTCTGTCTTTTCCTTCCTTCCCTTTCTTTTTCTTTCTTTCTTTCTTTTTCTTTCTTTCTTTCTTTCTTCCCTTCCTTCCTTTTTCTTCCTTCCTTCCTTCCCTTTCTTTCTTTCTTTCTTTCTTCCTTCCTTCCCTTTCTTTTTCTTTCTTTCTTTTTCTTTCTTTCTTTTCTTTCTTTCTTCCTTCCTTCCCTTCCTTCCTTTTTCTTTCTTCCTTCCTTCCCTTCCTTTCTTTCTTTCTTTCTTCCTTCCTTCCTTCCTTCCCTTTCTTTTTCTTTCTTTTCTTTCTCTTCTTTCTTTCTTCCCTTCCTTCCTTTTTCTTCCTTCCTTCCTTCCTTCCTTCCTTCCCTTCTTCCTTCCTTCCTTTCTTCCCTTTCTTTTTCTTTCTTTCTTTTCTTTCTTTCTTCCTTCCTTCCCTTCCTTCCTTCCTTTTTCTTCCTTCCCTTTCTTTCTTTCTTTCTTTCTCTTTCTTTCTTCCCTTCCTTCCTTCTTCCCTTTCTTTCTTTCTTTCTTTCTTTCTTCCTTCCCTTTCTTTCTTTCTTTCTTTCTTCCCTTCCTTCCTTTCTTCCTTTTTCTCCCTTCCTTTCCTTCCTTCCTCCTTTCTCTTTCCTTCCTCTTTCTTTCTTCCTTTCCTTCCTTCCTTCCTCCTTTCTCTTTCCTTCCTTCCTTCCTTCCTCTTTCTTTCTTTCCTTCCTTCCTTCCTTCCTTCCTTCCTTCCTTCCTTTTCCATATCTCTCTCTCTCTCTCCTTTTCTTTTCTTTTCTTTTCTTTTCTTTTCTTTTCTTTTCTTTGAGAATGTTTTACTTCTCATTCAAGAGAACTGAAGAAGCTTCCTGGATGAGAAGCGAAATGTTTTCAGAGGGAAAAAAAAAAAACTCTAGGAAGTCCACCGGCCTTTTGGGAAAAGCACCGTTAGGGCAACCAGAATCCGGATGAGTGAGAATTTTCACACACAAGAGTGGGGAATGTGAGAGAGGCCCCATTCCCAGCAGGGGGAGGCCCTACAGAATTGGGGCCAGAGATGGCTGGCTTGGTAGCGCATCCAAACAAAAGCTTTAAAAAAAGAATTTTTAATATATTTTTTTAAAAAAGAAAAGAAAAATTCCCCGAATTTCCCCAGCCAGCGTGTTTTAAGCTTTGTGGTTTTCAACTCCCGGAATTCCAGTCTGCTGGCCATGAAAAAAAAAAATCCTTATCCTTAGCCAATCTGAGATTTAGAAACAAGTTTCTAGTCCTTCAAGCGGGGAGCAGGCACCATGAAAGCATGCGCTCGAGTGTTTAGCTTGGAAAGGGCGTTTTCCATCCGTCGACTGATCTCTCTCTCTCTTCCTTTCTGTCTCCTCCTTTAGATGGAAGCGGAAACGATCCTTCATTTTGAAATAAGTCTGTGACTTACTTCTCCAAGTATGGCATATTGTCATATCTTTAAAGAAGCTACATCCACCCAGCCCCCCCCACCCTTCCGGAAGTGTCCTGCGAATGGAAACCCAGCGTAAAGTTGGAGGATGTCGGCAGGAAAAGACTTTTTTTTTTTAATTTAAAAAAAAAACCAAGAAAAAAACAACAACCATACATTTTGATTCTGAGACGTCGGTGTGAGACTGGTTACTCAGAGCTAAGGGAAGGACTGTTGTAAGTGGATTCACACATGTTATCGTATTCACTCGTAGTGAGTAAAACCTCTATTGTAATTTACTAAGAAATATCGGAGGGGGCCTTGGGCCCGATGGCTCCTTAAATCACGATTTAACGCCAAGTTGGAGCAAAAACTGTTTGCACTCTTTGGGGATTCCTCCTCTTCCAGTTACTTAACCTTTCACCCCTGCTCCCTAGAGTACAGAATGTGTAGGTGGTACAAATGCCTACGATAGTAAGGGCCAATGGCTGGTAATGCAATAATGGATATTATTGCCTTGCTATTCTCACATAGTGTATTTCTGTTTGTACAGAAAGACTGCCCTTCAAAGTTTGGGGCGCCTGTTTCCAATTTGAATTCTTTCTTTCTTTCTTTTTTTAATTCGCTTTGTGATGGTTATTTAAGTATTAGCAGTTTCCTCTAAGTCAGAAATATACAAGCTGAGTTCCTAAGGCTTCCTATGGCCCCTGTTTTTAACATAATGGGGGGGGGGGAAGCAACCCAATGCACTGGAAACAGCGTGAAGGGACCTGAATTGGTTTCACACGGCTGATCTTGGGGGAATATGAATATATATATATATATTTATAGGATGGGAGACCACCAGGAAATTTAGGGGGCCATAGACTAGCCTGGGAAGTCAGCCAAACATCAACTTCTGCATTCTTGCCAAGAACATTATATGGATGTGGCCTACTGTTCACCAGGACTCAAATCTGTCCCCAAGGATTCTTTTACGCCTCTTTTGGGCCTGCGACAAAATCGACTAATTGATTCTTTTACCTTTTTTTTTAGGAGAGGTTTAAGAACTCAAGGCCTCTGTCCTAACTATAGCTTCCTACGAAATTCAGATTATTTTTTTTTAGGGGAGGGGGGGTTGTTGTTTTTTGTTTTAATTGCGCATCGAACGAGATGAAGAACTCAAGGCCTCTGTTCGTAACTCTAGCTTCCTACGAAATTCAGATTTTGGGTTGGTTTTTTTTCCTCCTTCTTCTTTCTATTGCGCATCAAATGAGACGAAGAACTCAAGGCCTCTATCTTAAATCTAGCTTCCTAGAAAATTCAGATTTTGGAGTGGGGGCGCGGGGGGGAAAGGGTTTGTTTGTTTCAATTGCACATCAACTAGTCTCACCCGTTTTGGTCTGACCAAAACATTTCCTTTGACAGTGGAATCTGCTGTGTACATAACCACCATGTGAGTTATCTGGATTTCTTTCTAATCCTTTGGTCCCTCCAAGCATCCTATGACGGGCAAGGCCTGGTAGCTCAGTGACCGAGCCCTTATTGATCCACGCAAGGGATCGCCAACCCGTTCCCGCTTCGGCTGGGAACCGACCCTGGCCGAAAATATCCAGTGGTAGATCCCAGAGACGATATTCTGAAATGGTCTCTTGGTTGCGTTTGTTGCTTTTCAACAGCGCTGCTCGAGCAATGGGGAGACTCTTGACCAGAACAGTGGGCACAGGATAAATGCTGATGTTTATATTCTGCTGCATTCTAGGTGTATATCTTTAAATTTCATTTTGAACAATATGGCTTGTGACAAGCTTCAGAAACCTTTCCCAGCCTTCTCTCCGGGAGCAGAAATGGGCGGCTTGAGTCCCAAAACTTCTGCTTCAACCCCCACCCCACCCCACAACTTCACAACCTCCCCACATCCTACTCTTTCCTTAACTGTCGCGTTCGAATTGTGGGGACTTGTGATATCCTCAGTATTAACGCTGCCTTTGTTACGACTTTTCTACGAGCACGTGTGAGGGGGTCGGGCCCTCTGACTGTTGTACGCCTAGCCATGTTGTGTCCAGTTGTGAGACTTGCTTAAAACCACAGGCCTGCAAGACTGTGCCGAACCGCAACGCGATCGGAGTTCGTTTGTCCATTTTGTACGATCAAAACAGAACATGCCTGTTCACTTGCACTTTTGCTGAAAAGTTTGCCTGCCGTTGTGCGGTGTTCCTGAAACCTTGACGCCTTTGCCAAGTCTGGATGTGAGCTTTTTTGCAATAAAAGGAAACACAACATTGAGAAACAGCCTTGAAAGCGTGCGTGTATTTGTATTTTAAATTCATGGTGGCTTTTTTTATCTGCAGGTGGTCCTCCTCTTAAGACTGCAATTGAACACAGAATTGTGGTCATAAGTCAGGCTGGTCATTAAGCAGATCATCACCTGACTGTGCCTGATTTCATGAGCTTATTTGCAGGGCTTGTTAAGCAAATCACTCCAGTCACTCAATGAATCTCTTGTCCACAAAGGGCGTTTTTTGGGGGGAAACTGGGAATAAACGTTTGTTTCTGGCAAAAAAACATTATAGATCACAACTGTGGGACAGTACAAATGTAAAAAAGATGTTGAGACTCTAGAAAGAGTACAGAGAAGAGCAACAGAGATGATTAGGAGATTGGAGGCTAAAGCATATACGGAACGGTTGTAGGAATTGGGGATGTCTAGTTTAATGAAGAGAAGGACCAGGGGGGACATGATAACAGTCTTCCAGTATCTCAGGGGCTGCCCCAAAGAAGAGGGAGTCAAGCTATTCTCCAAGGCGCCTGAAGGCCGGACAAGAAGCAATGGATGGAGACTAACCAAGGAGAGAAGCAACCTAGAACTAAGGAGAAACTTCCTGACAGTGAGAACAATTAACCAGTGGAACAACCTGCCTCCAGAAGTGGTGAATGCTCCGACACTGGAAGTTTTTAAGAAGAGACTGGACAGCCATTTGTCCGAAATGGTATAGGGTTTCCTGCCTAAGCAGGGAGTTGGACTAGATGACCTCCAAGGTCCCTTCCAACATTATTGTTATTATTAAAGGGATTTAAATGGGGGCTTTGAGCCCCCCAAATGCGATCGTGTGACAGCAGAGGGGGCCTGGCTGCTAGAATGTCAAACTGGGACCTAAGTAGTCCTGGGCAGGTCCGTCGTAATTTCAAACAGTCACTAAGCAAATGGGTCGTAACTCAAAGACTACCCATAATTCCCAGCACTTCCAAACACTTGACCTGATAACCGAACTAACCTGTTTTCCAGCTTTGTATCAAACCTTAAAAAACACACACCCTCAAATATGCTGGGTTTGCGTAATATCTAAATTGGGGTGTCCAACCTTGCTAACTCTTAAGACCTGTGGACGTCAGCTTCCCTTCCAAGTTTTCCAAAAGGCTCTGAGCCAGCCATGGAATTCTGGGAGTTGAAGTCCACAAGTCACAAAAGAGCCCAGGTTTCCCACCCCTGTTCTATACAGATAGTCCTCGGCTTAACGACCACAATGGAGCCCCCCCACTCTTTGCTGCTAAGCGAGACATTGGTTACATGCGTTTTGCCCCGTTTTACGACTTCCTGCCGCAGCTCTTGCCCCCCCTAGGCATGAAACAACTTAAAACCGTTGTTAAGCGAATCACTGCCCTTGTTTAATAGTCACACCGTTGTTAAGTGAATCTGGCTTCCCCTGTTGGCTTTGCTTGTCGGAAGGTCGCCAAAGGGGATCACGACGACGCCGTCATAAATATGAACCCGTTGCCAAGCCTCCGGATTTTGATCACGTGACCATTGGGGGGGGGGGCGCGACAACGGTCATTAAGTGTGAAAAACGGTCGTTAAGTCCCATTTTTCAGTGCCGTTGTAACTTTGAAGGGTCACCAGGCAAATTAAGGCGGGGACTCCCTGTACCAGGGGTGTCCAATCTTGACAGCTGTCAGGCTCATGGACTCCCAGAATCCCCCAGTCCAACCTTGGCAAGTTGAAGACCTGCGGACTTCAACTTGCCAAGGTTGGATGTCCCTGCCCTACCCAGATCCAAGGCTGTCCAATTTCTTCTTAAAAACCTGCAGTAATAGAGACCTTCACCCCCCCTTTTTTTCTGCCCCCCCAATTAAACGTGGCTTTGGGGCGCCCTCTGCTGGGCATAAAGGGAAAACAATGATCCATCAGTTGAAATATTGAGAGATGGGGGGGGGAAAGGACGGAAGTACCGTATTGTACTTTCTTTTTGTCTCTTCCTACACAAATGTGCACGTGCGTCTTGCTGAGAATCACCGCCAAGGTAGGGCCTTTGGTCTAATTCTCTCCCCCGTTTTGGCAGAAGCAAGGGGTGTGTAGGGGGGGGGAGGATCCGTGCCGTACGTGCATCATACTACAAATAGATTTTATAAAATAAGATTTTTTTTAAAAAAATGGAGGGAAGGTCCTGCATCCATTTGAAAAGTTTGCATTTCCCAGTTTCAGTCGCCCGGCCTGGGCTCTCCTCGTGGTCTCCCATCCACGCCCGCAGTGGGACCCAAGGTTCCATTGCTCGGCCCGAGGCGGAGCTGAGATCGGCCAGGGCGGCGGATTCAGCGGCGTGTTTCCCGCACGTGGCTTGGACTGGAGTCACGCTCGTTCACACGCTTGGATCGTGCCCGAAGGAAGCGTGTCAAAGGCAGCCCCGGCGCTCCCTTCCTGGCACGGCTCCTTGGCAAAAGCGGGGATTATTATTATTTTTTTTTCCCGACGGTCCGAGCCCAGCTCGGTCCCTCCGGATCCACTCGCGGAGGATCCTGCTCGTCCCACGCAGTTTGGCAAACGCACGAGGGCAGGCTGAGCCTGACTGTCCTTCCTCCCTCCCTCTTTTTCCTTCCTTCCTTCCTTCCTTCCTTCCTTCCTTC